GTGTGTGTGTGTGAGAGAGTGTGTGTGTGTGTGTGTGGGGGGGGTCTGCACTGCACGAGCTCTGTTGGACAAGCGCATTTAAATCGGCGCGAAGTTTGAATCTGCAGCTGAGCGCGTCACCATAGCAACAATAACCGACTCCTGTTGCCATCACAAATATAAAGCTAATTAACCAAACAATCTCCTAATTAGCGGTCTGAACGGTGGAGGAGTCCAAAGCCACAACATTGAGGCTTTTTAGACCTTTCTGACAGAAACCTTCCACACTGGTATCTTTAATTTACTGTTAATTATCCTTATATTGCAGTCGTTGCAGCACAAGCTGTAATCGCGTTCATTATGTCTGATTAACCGAATATATAACGCTAACTAAACCTCTAATATTACCTTACACCTCTATATTACTGACATATGCGCGGGGCATTACATTGAGACACATTATTTCCAACAATGTTTATATATGAAATATAAATTTGAGATTTAAATGAGGAATTCTAGTCAAGTCACCTTTATTTATATAGGCCTAGCACTTTATTCATTTACATTTAGTCAATTTGCAGAGGCTTTTATCCAAAGCTATTCTTAAAGAGGCACTGAGTCAAATCAATACAAATTGTGAATTCTGAAAATATAAGTGTGTAATTCTGAGAAGAAAAGCCTTAACTTTAAGATATAAACTCATAATTGCGAGACAAAAAGTCAGAATGTCAACTATCTCAAAATTACCTTTTTATTTTTTTTATTTGGTATCGAGAACAAGCTTGACGTTCTTTTTTTTTTCTCTCGCAATTCTGAGATATAAATTCACAATTACTTTTTTCCGCAACAGAAAAATAAGCTTTGGTAGATAATGTGATTTACTACTAATTATAACAGTAAACAAGCTGCTGTAAAGCGCTATACAAAGTGACTTGAAAAGACGTAAAAATGCTAATGACGGAATTCTGGAAACGGTTATGCGCCGGTGGACCGGGAGCCCAGTAAAGTGACTATGCCAGCACCGATTAACCTTTCGTTCAGGGTCTCTCGTTTATTTTCTGTAGCCTATGGTGTTGCCTGAGAATAGGGGTGGTTTATGATTTATCTGCATGTTTTATCTTCATCTGATGAGTTAGTTTTTGCTTTTTATATTGCTTAATAATGTAAAAAAAATTGTACAGCACTTAGGTACAACATTTATGCTTTATAAATAAAGTGAACTTGATTGTCTAGTTTGGCAGCACTCCTGGGTCTATTGAGCGTTTGCTGACGATAATGGAGGTGAAGTCTGGGAAACATCGGACCTGCGGCTCCACGGGCTCAATTAACGAGCCAAAGCGGGAAGCTGCCGTATCGTTAGCCTGGTGCGAGACT